TGATGCTGATACTGCTAGTCCTCAGTGCACACTTTGAGCAGCAAGGCTGTAGAAGACCATAAGGGACTCAATCGTTTCTCCTCACATTCCTCTATTCATTGGTTGACCTACTGTTGTAACCCCTACCCTATGATCTCATCCCAACAAAAGGTGGTGCTCCCTCTCCTCCTCCTGGTTTCCCACTCACTTCCTCTTTCCCAAACCCTTCCACTGAGCCATCTGGATTTCCTATCTTTCCAACTCTTGCTCACGTCTGCGAAGCCCTGTTCCTTTGTGGCTCATGCAGACTTCCTAATCTGCTCCTCCCTGCTCATTGATGACTACGGTCGTAGCCCTCCTATCTGTCTCGAGCCCTGCCATCACCTTGGCTAGAGTTCACCTCTCATGAGTGGCCCCCGCCCCCACCTCCTTAGTTCTCTCTCTCCAGTTTACCTTCTTCCCACTTTAGCTCACGTACCACTTCATAAGCTCTCTACCTGCAGGTTACCCCAAACCATTCCATCTCCCACAGAGTAATTCAGAAGCCCACTCTGAGCTCAATTCCTACCCTTCCTCCTTATTTGCTCTTCACACCCCCTTTGCTGCTGCTGCAGTTCTTCAAGATTCCCCACTACCCCAAGCCCTGTCTGTGTTCCCCTTACCTCCTCCATTCAAGTCAAACTCTGTCATATGCACTTATAGCACCATGTGCCTCTTTCATAGTGTAATAGAAAGTGCAGAATTTGAAAAGCCCAGTCATAAAACAATCTTATTTTTCCTCATGATTGCCCCTGTAAACCACCCTGAGGGGACAGTTTCCTCTAGCAGCCACCATAGATTATCTGCTCATGAAGAGTGCTCTAGTCACTTTAGATCTTGGTAATTAATCGTGTCCAGTCCCGAGGAATAATAAAAACCATGAATCATTCAATGTTGGCCCATTATGGGCAAGAAACCTGCTGTAGGAAATGGGGACAGCTTCTCTCTCTACAACTCCAGTTCCTTCGTTCACCTCCACACCCCTTCAGCCACCAGGTGCAACTTCCGACCGCTGTGAGGTTAGAGGGGAGGTAAGATAAGGGCTGCAAAGCTTCTGCTGAGAGCTTGCGCGCTGTGCTCTTTGGGCTGGCAGGTGTTCCGAGTGGGCTCTTTCTCCCACGGGCTGCTCTGAGATTCTTTGGCAACCCTGATCCCAGGATCTCTCACCTGTACTTCCCTGATTCGGGTGATCCTTCACCCAAATCTCAGAGGGGATCAGGTGGAACTCGAATCTCCTCCTGTGGCCCCTGTTTTTAAGGATTTAATGCTCTCTGTTGGAATAACTTTGAAGTGGCCCTTTGGGGCAAAGCCCCTTTAAAGAGCCTCCAGGTCAACTCACAGCTCATCCTTTGGATATCTGCACTTCCGTTTCATGGCAAAATGCTCCTCTGACCTGTTGTCCGTGGAGCAACCTTCCCAAATTGTACCCTCTGCGCTGTTGCCATGGGCAGCTGCAGTCAGACTCCTGCCCTTTAGATTTGTCAGTCACGAAACAGATCCCAATCCAAACTCCACCTCCAGTGACACATTCAACGGCTCCAGAAGGTCTCCTGCAGGCTTGCAGCCTCTTCTGCATTGTAGGGAGGTGGGGTGAACCACACACCCTCCACCCACCAAATCCTCCTTCTTTGTTTCTAACCTTCCTCTAAGAAACTCCAACCTCTTTCTTAGGCTGGAGAGGACAGTAAGCTAAGGTCTCAAAATCAGTTCATAGCCTCCTTTTTGCAAGGCCTACACAGTTGAGCTAGCAATTCACTCTAGGATAAGGGAGCACTTGCCAACTATTGTGTTGTGTCCTCAGCCAAAGCACAGTCAAAATCCCGTATTAAAGTTCTGCAGCAGTACTTCTCATATTAGCAAAGCTGCATTTATTTTGTAATTAATGTTTGCTTGCCCTTCTAAAAGGTGATCTCCACGAGGTCTGGGACTATGTCCATAGCACATTGACATCGACCACAGGACCTAATAGTTCAGTAAGTGAAACCTTTCTCTTTTTTTGAGATGGAGTCTTACTCTTCTTGCCCAGGCTGGAGTGCAATGGCACGATCTCGGCTCACTGCAACCTCCACCTTCTGGGTCCAAGTTATTTTCCTGCCTCAGTCTCCCAAGTAGCTGGGATTACAGGCACCTGCCACCATGCCCAGCTAATTTTGTATTTTTAGTAGAGTTGGGGTTTCACCATGTTGGCCAGGGTGGTCCCGAACTCTTGACCTCAGGTGATACACCTGCCTCAGCCTCCCAAAGTGCTAGGATTACAGGCATGAGCCACCATGCCTGGCCAAAGGAAACATTTTTAAAAAGGCTTTTCTGCAACCTGACTTCTCAAGTGACAGCCTTACCCTTCTCTTCCTTTTTTCAGCCAAAGGTCTACAGTCGCTTTTCCTCAATGTCCCTATTCCAAACTCCTTGCTAGGAGGAAGGTTCTAAGAACGGGGTTTGATAGGGGTTCAGGAAGATGATACTTGGTGACCAAGCAGAGGCTTACAGGATAGGCAACACTGCCCCAGCCCTGGCCCTGCCTCAGCTGGCTGCTCTCCAGGTCCATGACCACTGCCCTGTCCTTTTCATGCCTGTTCCTGGGCCTTCAGTCAGCTTCACTGGATCAGTGCACGCTCTCTACAGGAAGAGTTTCACCTGAGTCTGATATGTCCACTGATTCCTAGACCTTAATAAAGTGAGGGTCAGAGTCTGGTCCTTCTATCAGTTTCCTGCAGTTGTTGAAACAAAGTTCCACAAACCAGCGGGAATTTATTCTCTCACTGTTCTGGAATCTCAAGGTCAAAAATCAAGGCATCAGGAGGCCCATGCTCCCTCAGAGGCTCCAGGGAAGACTTTTCCTTGGCTCTCCCTAGCTTTTGGTCACTGTTGGTAACTTTTGGTGTCCTTTGGCTTATACATGCATCACTCCAGTCTCTGCCTCGTCATCACGTGGACTTCTCTGTGTGTATGTCTGTGACTTCACATGGCCTTCCTTTTTTTTTTTTTTTTTTTGAGACAAAGCCTCATTCTGTTGCCCAGGCTGGAGTATACTGCTGTGATCTCAGTGCAGCCTCAACCTCCCGGACCCAGGGAATTCTTCCATGTCAGCCTCCCAAGTAGCTGGGACCACAGGTGGGTGCCACCATGCCTGGCCAATTTTTTGTATTTTTTTGTTTAGATGGGGTTTCACCATATTGGCCAGGCTGGTCTGGAACTCCTGGCCTGAAGCGATCTGCCTGCCTTGGCCTCCCAATGTGCTGAGGTTACATGTGTGAGCCACTGTGCCTGGTCCACATGGCCTTCTTTTAAGGATAGCAGTCATAGGATTTAGGGCCCACCCTAATCCAGTATGACGTCACCATAACTAATTCTATCTACAAAGACCCTATTTCCAAATAAATCACATTCTGAAGTCCTGGGAGGACGTGAATTTTGAAGGGGCTGCTATTCAACCTAGTATGAGGGTATTGGAGAGCAGGGACGAACCAATGAGATAGGGAGTGTTATCCCCAAATGAAAATAATGATAAAGAGCTCTTCCCCTAAAAACTCCCCTAAACCTTTTTTAGTAAAATGGATCCTAATATTGCTTTGCATTATCTTAGCAGACAAAAACTCTTTAAGAAAAATGAGATCTATTTGTAACCAGTAGGGGAACCTGGTTTCATCTGCATTGAAGACCAAGTTGCCATCTGAGCTGGCCTATGTACTGGGTGCACACTGCGTGGCACACAGGTCTCCAGAGGCTGGCTCAGGACTCTCTGGAACTATAGTACAGTTACAGCATTTGGGACATCAAGACATTGTTTTGGATACAGAATGAAAATGTAGTTCTTGTACCCCAAGCTTCTTGGGTGTTTGAAAACATAACTGTGTGAGTTCTCCAGACATTTGACATAGCAGAGAGTGATGCTCCTTGTCATCCAGTTTCCCAGGGAGCCCACCATCCTGACCTCCCCTGCCCCAGCTGTACTCAAAAGCCCCCTCCAGGAGGTGAAGGGAAAGGACAGGTGGATCCCAGCTTGCGTTGGGGTGTGAGGAGAAGCTGAGGGAGCCCGGGGGGCATGGGAAGCAGTGCTTACAGTTACACTGTAAGTGCCCAGGGTAGGCTCTGGGTTAGGAGTTGGAGCTGCTAGCTCTACTGCTAGTTATAAGGCCAGATGTAAGTTACTGATTTTCGTCATCAGTAAAATGAGCGTATTGAACTAGTCAGCAATTTCCAGTTTAAATGCTTTAGACTCAGAGGGAGTTTAGGTGTGCCTGCGAGGTATTTTAGGAATGTTTGTGAATCAAGCATTTTGTCAATGAAATGAATAATATGTCTCATACATGTGTATACTACTAATTTTCAATGTAGGCAATGTTGTAATGATTAAAATATAACATTTAAACGTTTACTAAATTTTAGTTAATTTTACCTCATTAAATAATTTTCTGAAAGTCTAGAATTACAGTGGCTATCATATGATAGACTATGACCTTTCTTAATATTAAAAAAAAGATTTTTGTACTTGTATTTCCTGCACGTAATAGGCATTGATAAGTATTTGTTGACTGGATTAAATAAAACCTAGGGTACCAGTAAATAATATGATCACTTTGGTCTCTGCCAACTTTAAATTCTTACGAATTCTTTACTCTAACTCTGAGGCAATTTTCCAGGTTGAGTTTTTACTGTAATCAATCATTTCTACATAATTAAAACCAGCTCTGCTCTACTGCACCATTTACCAAAGACTGGGAGACTTTTCCGTTGCACATGCATATAATAGCACTGCTCACTTAGCATTCACGTCTTCAAATCTTTTCCGGGAAAGATTCTTTCCCTGTTGTAAAAATGAAGTCTGTGGAACTTGCATGCCACCCTTTGAAGGTTTTGTATTATAAATTCATTCCGAAACATGGATTATGTCTGCTTGTAAGGAATATGTGGCACATCCGCAGCGGGAAGGAAGTTTCAAAGGCTCATCACAAAAACCCAATGATTTATTTTTCCATACAGTGCTATTAAGTTCTGACATAGTGACATTAGAATATAAAATAAAATAGGTTGGCTTGTAGGCTGAAAAAGCTCATGGTGCTCCCCTAACCCACCTCTGAGACTATCCAGGGGGAAGGATGTTCCCGTGGATCAGCCATGTTCAGGGACAGTCTTGAGTCATATTATTTAGGGCATGGAGCATTACAAGTGGAGCTTGAATAAGCCTGACTTAGGCGCCTATACCACTTCTGGCTCTTGAGATGGTTTTCTTCTAGAGAGGAAAGGAAGAAGGAGAAGTCTGAGCTTCTTCATTTTATTCTCTCTTGCTTCTTCACTCTCTCCCTTTCCCATCTTCCTGGGTAAGCAAGAAGGGCTGTGCTGAGTTTATCTGAGGGCTGGGGCTGGCTGCCCAGAGCAGCTCTGACCTGTACATTGGCACACACACAAGCTCTCTCTGTCACCTCTTCTGATTATCACTGGATTGGTCTTACCTGACCATTGAGTGCTGGGATGAGCGGGGCTGAGACTCAGGTGGCACTTAGAGAGGAGGTCATGTAGGCTATTACCCATTTTATTTCTAGGCTCTGGGCCACGTAACCTGACTTAGCCTTGCCTGCCAGTGGAGTGTAGTAGTGTTTGAGGCCAATGCCCAAGGTCTATCAAAATGTCCCTTGGCTCCACACTCCCTTCCACACATATGTTGCCCTCTGAAACTTCTCATGGAATTAGGGATACGTGGATAATAGGATTGAAGACATCTGATCTTCTGTCTAGGGCATCTATTTCTGTTTGCAACAGTATATCATAAGCTATTTAAGAGGAGGAGTTTAGGTAGAGATTATAGGAAACGCACATTACGTTTGATTTCATAACAGAGAAAATTGTTTTGAAATGTAACAAACCACAAATTTAAAGGTAGAAGGGTTTGGCGCAGTGGCTCATATCTGTAATCTCAGCACTTTATGAGGCTCAGGTGAGAGCATCACTTGAGGCCAGGAGTTTGAGACCAACATGGGCAACATAGCAAGACCTCATTTCTGCAACAAATAAAAAATTTGAAAAGCCAGGTGTGGTGGTGCACACTTGTAATCCCAGCTACTAAGAAGCTGAGGTGGAAGGATCGCTTGAGCCTGGGAGGTTGAGGCTGTAGTGAGCTGTGATTATGCCACTGCACACCAGCCTGGGTGATAAAGCAAGATCCTTTTTTTAAAAAAAAAATAGTTATAAATCTGGGGTTTAGATTCCACTAACTCCATGATGTTGGCTAAAATATTTAGCCTCTTAGTTTCCTGGAAGAGTGTGTGTGTGTGACATATCTTATAGGAGATGGGAGTGGATGAGCTTCCAGAGATAACAATTGTCTGCTATATGCCAGTTATTTTTGTTGTTGTTGTTTGTTTTTGTTCCTTGTGAAACAGGGTCTTGCTCTGTCACCGAGGCTGAAGTGCAGTGACACAATCACGGCTCACTGAATCCTTGACCTCCTCAGCTCAAGCAATCAATCCTCCCACTTCAGACTCCCAAGTAGCTGGGACCACAGGCATGAGCCACGATGCCTGGCTGATTTTTAAATATTTTTGTAGAGATGGGGGGTGGGTCTCACTAAGTTGCCTAGGCTGTTCTTGAAGTCTTGCACTCAAGCAATTCTCCTGCCTTGGCTTCTCAAAGTGTGGGAATTACAGGAGTGAGCCACTGCACCTGGCTCTATATTGCCAGTCTAAGAAAATAAAGTAAATGTTTCTTAGGAGAGCTCCATTTGTTCCATTTTTTAAAAAAAGAATCCATTGTCAGAACTCAAACTAGAGGGCACTGGCTCATTCCTGTGCCTCATAACGCCCCAGGAAGGCCAAACAACTTTGCAGCTCGGATACTTTTCCCTCAGCTCCAATTTCTCGCCTCGGGTTTGAAAATGGAAAGATTTGTAAGGGAGAATCTACATTCATGGCAAAACTTCATTCTGCACTCCTGCACCCCCTTCAGCCAAGGTCAAATGGTCCAGTTGGCTTCTCAATTATAGGTCCTGATTCTTAACAAAATGAACATTTATTCAGACATACCGTGGATAATGTTAAGTACCCTACATAGTTTTCTACTTAATCTTCAAAACACCTAAGGGGAGGCTCTGTTTATTTTTATCCTAATTTTACATATGAGAAAACTGAACCTTAGACAGATTCAGTGATTTGCCCAGGGAGCACAGTTAATAAGTAGGAAGCTAGTGGCTGGATTTGGCATCCTAACCTTAAAGCCTCAACTCTGACCCACATGTCACTAGGTCCCTTTATTGATGTCTCACCTGCGGTTGTAGCATGCATCTTAATCGACCTCAGCAGTCCTGGCTTCAACCATTCTGTTCCTTTAGTCCATGAAGATGCTCTAACTTGTCAAATTCTGGGTCCCAATTTCTGGTAATGTTTTAACCATAGGTGACAATCATGTATTCATTGAATACACACTTACATAGTGCTTACTATTGTAGCTGTTCTATTAAAGTTAATTTATTAAATTAATATTAGGGTTAATCTAATTTAATCCTTATAACAACTGCATTAAGTACAGGCAACCCTCCATGTCTGTGGGTTCTGTATCTGTAGATTCAACTAACCTCAGACAAAAAACATTTGGGGGGAAATCGCACAAATTTCCATAGAGAAAAACTTGAAATTACCAGGCACTGAGTACTACATTGACTCCACATGAATAAAGTGATGTGTAAGCATTGGATCAAGGTATTGTAAGTAATCCAGCGATGCTTTAAAGAATATGAGAGGATGTGGGTAGGTTATATGCAAATACTATGCCATTTTATGAAAGATACTAGCACATTCACAGATTTTGGTATAGGGGGCGCCCTGGGACCAATCCCCAGAATGCCAAGGCTTGTCTATATGTATTAACACATTATTTGCATTTTACAGATGGGGAAATTGAAGAACAGAGAGGTTAAGTACTTGGTCAAGTTTACAGGACTAATAAATGGCAAGTGGCTGAGTTGGGATTCAAGCACAGGCTACTTGACTCCAAAGCCTAGCTAGTACCATTACGCCATGTTGCCTATATGGAATTTGTAGTATTAGTCAATGGAACATTTACCATGTGCTCAGCACTGTATTATGGGGGATATAGACGTGGACTCTTGCTGCACACAAACTGTAATACAGTATTTTCTTTTTTTTTATTTTTTTAAAGTTGGGGTTTCTCCATGTTGGTCAGGCTAGTCTCGAACTTCCAACCTCAAGTGATCCGCCCACCTTAGCCTTCCAAAGTGCTGGGATTACAGGCGTGAGCCACCACTCCCGGCCGCAATACAGTATTTTCTTTATCAGCAGTTTTCTTTCCATGGTTTGTTACCCATGATCAGCCATGGTCTGAAAATACTAAATTAAGCATTTCAGAAATAATCAATCTATAAGTTTTAAATTACATACCATTTTGAACAGCGTTATGAAATATCACACCGCCCCACTCTGTCCTGTGGGGATATGAATCACTCCTTTGTCCAGTGTATCCACACTGTATGTGCTACCTAGCCGTTAATTATTGACATTGTCTGCTCCTGACATCCAACCGTGGACACATCACAAGAAGAAGGCTGAGTACAATATAATAGGGTATTTTGAGAGAGAAAGAGAGAGACTGCATTTACATAACCTTTCTTACAGTATATTGTTATAAATGCTTTATTTTATTAGTTATAATCATTAATCTCTTATTGTGCCTAATTAATAGGTTACACTTTGTTACAGGTATGTACATATAAGGAAAAAAACAGTATTTATAAGGCTTGATACTATCCTTGGTTTCAAGCATCTACTGGAGGTCTTGGAAAGTGTCCCCTCAGGATAGGGCGGGATGACTGTAAATAGTTGCTCAGAGGAGGGTTAAGTTCCAACGGACTGGAATAGGCTGAAGGAGTGGTAGGCACGGCTGGTTGTTTCTCTCATCTTCTTCCATCTCCTCCTCCTTTCTAATAGCATGCCAATTTTGTTTAGGAAAGCCATGTGCTCGGAAAGAAGTGGTCACCCAATCGAGTTCTGGCCAGCAAGATGACAGAGGAAGTCTGGTGAGTGGGGCTTCTAGGAAAGCAATTATTTTCTTGGTATAAAGGCAAAACTCAGTTGGCATGCACCTTTGCCCCTTTGCCCTGCTCCTTCTCTTTGCCTGGGCCCCAGACGCAACGCCTAGAGTAGAACAGTCATCTTACCACCAGGAAGATCAAAAGTGGTCGCTGAGGTTATCAGAGAAGGACGTTAGAAACAGCCTGGTCCTTGGTGATTTCTCTGAGCAGCAGTGGCAGCCCTGGGCTGTCTGCTTCCGGACTTCTTGGTGCATGAGAAAAAAACCCTATTTGGTTAAAATAACGTAGTTGAGTTTCTGTTAACAAACAATTGAACAAATTGTTACGCGTAAGCCTTCACGGTGGAGACAGTCTCTAGCTAGGGGTTGATGGTGAGGAATATTCAGTTAGGTTGGGAGAAAGGAGAAGCTATTCCAGGTGTGCGGTCTGTCCTACCTGGTGGTGGGGAAGCAGAACCAGCACGTGCATTCAGGGCAATGTCGAGCTCCAGCCACCCTGGGCAGAGTACAGTTAACTTGATTTTGTAATGCCTAAGGGAGAAGAAGGGTAAAGGATCTGATGTATGAAACAGCATAGAAAGGCTGGAGACTTGGTGAGAGGGTGAGAAGGCTTGGGCCACATCAGAGATTTTATTTTTGTCCATTTATTTACTTTTATAGACAGCATCTCAAGTTGTTGCCCAGCCTGGTGTATTGTGGTGTGTTCATAGCTCATTGTAACCCAGGCTCAGGTGTTCTTCCTGCCTCAGCGTCCCAAGCAGCTAGGACTATAGGTGTATGCCACCATGCCTGGCTCACATTTTGGGTTTTGGACTAGACAGTTTGACTGTACTAATATAGAGTTGGAGTTTGGGGCAAGGCCGTACAGAGCCAAGTAGAAACACATTCAGGCGTTTTACGTATGTAACTAGATCTTCACACAGACAGTGTCCAAATATTTCCAAGCATTTCAGCATATGTTAGACGTGGTTCTAGGCCCACAGTGAAAGATCAAGATTCTATAAAATAATGTAAGCTCAATTTTGGACCCCTAAGCAAGTATGTTCTAGAAAGAATCCCAGTGTCATTTAAAAGTGATAAAACAGAGTGTTTTGAGGGGTTCAAATCCTGGCTTTGTCACTTATTCACTGTGTGGCCTTGGTCAGATTTCTTTACATTTTTATGCCTCTGTCTTTTCGGTTGTTTTATAAGGTTAACAAAAGTACTTTCCTCACAGTTTAATCTTAAGGGTTAAATGAGACAGTACTGATTCAGTCTTTCCTCTCTAATCAACAGCAGGTCTAGTTTTCCATTGTGCAGTCCCTAAATCATGGAGTATCCCTGAGACGTCTTTTCTCATCAGCAAATCCTGCTGAATCTAATTTCAAAATAGATCCATCATCCAATTGCTTTGGGCCACAGCGATTACCATGTTGCTCATTCCTCCCAAGTATCCTTTTCAGAGCCAAGGTGCCCATCCTCCACATGCTGGGAATGTTGGCTGTGGAAGGCACACAGATGTGTCCCTCTTGGGGGTTGTCTTGGCTGAGGAGACCTGCCTTGCTCTCCCAAGGGGCAGCCCCCCACCAAAGCCCAGCCAATGCATGGATAGAAAGACCTGGTCACTTTGCCTGTGGTAGACAGAGTGATAGCCCAATCCCCAGACCTGTGAATGTGTTAGGTTACATGGCAAGGGGAAGTAAGGTTAGCTCACCAGTTGATGTGATGTACAGATTGTCCTGGGTCGTTTGGGTGGGCCCAATGTAATCACAAGGCTCCATACAAATGAAAGAGGGAAGCAGGAGTCAGAGTCATAGGAGATGTGATAGCGATTGCTGGGATGCAGGTGGCTTGTGGTAATTTGTTATAGCAGCCACAGAAAACTAATCTAATTTTGGACAACTCTGAAGGGCCATCCCAGATCCAGGCATCCCCATAGGATTGGCTGAGGTGTCAGATGCCACCATTTTTCAGGTAAGCTTCTCTCTCTGACCTTCCTCAGTTCCTTACACGAGTATTTCCCAAGAGGACCCATGCTCATCTCAGAGTTAGTTTCCAAGGATCCAGATCTAATACAATATCTCACCTGGATTGCAGTAGTTCCCTAAATGGTCTCCATGATTATATCCTTAACTCTGCAGTCTCTGCTCAACATGGTAGCTACGAAGACTATGTTAGAACATAAATTAGATCAAGGCACTCCATAGCTTTCCTTTCCACTCAGAGTAAAGGTTAATTAAACTCCTTTTTTTTTTTTTTTTTAATTTAAAGACAAGGTCTGGCTCTATCACCCTAGCTGGAATGCAGTAGTGCAATTTCAGCTTGTTGGAACCTCCATCTCCCAGGCTCAAGCCAACCTTCCTCTGCCTCCTGAGTAGCTGGGACTACAAATGCATGCCATCCCTCCTGGCTACATTTTTGTGTTTTTCATAGAGATGGGGTTTCGCCATGTTGCCCAGGCTGATCTCAAACTTGTAAGCTCAAGCGATCCACCTGTCTTAGCCTCCCAAAGTGCTGGAATTACAGGTGTGAGCCACCACACCTGGCTGAGGTCATATTCCTTACAATGACATAAAAAGACTTCATAATCTGCCCATCCACCCTGCCCTTACCTCTCCAGCCTCACCTCCTGTGATTCTATCCATTGTTCACTCCACTTTAGCTACACTGCATCCTCCTTGACCATGCCAGGCAAGCTCCCGCCCCAAACTTTTTTTTTTTTTTTTTTTTTTGAGACAGCGTTTCGCTCTTGTTACCCAGGCTGGAGTGCAATGGCACCATCACGGCTCACCACAACCTTCACCTCCTGGGATCAAGCAGTTCTCCTGCCTCGGCCTCCCGAGTAGCTGGGACTACAGGCGTGTACCACCATGCCCAGCTAATTTTTGTATTTTTGGTAGAGACGGGGTTTTACCATGTTGACCAGGATGGTCTCGATCTCTTGACCTCATGATTCACCTGCCTTGGCCTCCCAAAGTGATGGGATTACAGGCGCTGCCCCAAGACTTTTGCACTGACTCTTCGCTCATATGCCATCTTTCCCCAAGTGTTCCTGACCACTCTATTTAAATGGCAATTGTCCCTCATCCTACACTGGCACACCCTATCCCTGCATTGTTTTCTGTATGGACCTGTAAAGGGACAGCTTAACCTCAAAATGCATTTTAAAACTTTTTCCTTCCTCTTGGGTTTCAAGATGTAACCTTGAAGCAAACTGCAGAAGCCTTTTCCCTTAGCCTTAAAAAGGACTCCACATCCCTCCCTTTCTTACCATATACACACCCTTCACATTTATCTATGAGCTAGTATCTAACCATGTGTCTACTTAGAAGTTCCAGGGATAAATCTTGAGGCCAACAGATCAAGCCTGGAGACCCAGATGCAAATTCCAGAGATTACCTCAAGGTGGCTAATCAACAACCTGGCCATTGTTGAGATGACACCAGCCTACACTCCAGGGGGACTGGGACCCAAGATTGCCAGTGGAACAAAACTCAGTATAATTCTTGCATGCCTTGCATATCAAGTTTTCCCTTTTTGAACCCTTGCCTTCTCACCTCAAAGTTCAAAGTAGTTGCTTTGGATTGGAATCCAGCCACTTCCCCTTTGCCAACTTCTGAAATAAAGTCAATATTTTCCTACCATACCTCATTCTCATTAGTTGGACTCCGCAAGCAGTGACTGAAACTGTGTTGTTACAGGCTTATGATGTTTTAATATACTATTTAGTTTATTTATTTTGCTTATTGCTTTTCTTCTCTCACTAGATTATAAGCTCTATGAAGGCATGTATTTTTATTTATTTACTGCTCTAGCCCTAGTGTTTAGGACTGTGCCTGGAAAACAGTGGCGCTCACTAAAAACATGCTGAATGACTAAGTGCAGTGCAGTATTCTAAGGTATTTAAACAGTGTCTGACACATAGTGAATGCTCAGTAAGGGCTAGCTATTGATCTTATTTTTGCCAGTGGAGAAGGGGTCATGAGATTCCTGGCATTGCAGAAGATACCTATATATAGCATTTGATCCCTTGATCCCGCAAGAAGAAGAAGACAAATAATATGCACATGTTAATTAGGACCTTAGTTTCCTTGCTTTTATGTGTGTGAACCAACCCCCGGATGAATTGAATTCCCTTTAGAACGGATGTAAAACCATATATCTGAGTCTCTCACATGGACCCAGGAGGTGAGAAAGGGCAGAGAGCAGAGTATGAGCTGGAGCTGTTTGGAACCACAATTTGGGTGCAGAAATCCGAGCTCAGGGAAGTCTGCTGTGGCTCCGGGTCAGGCCTGATTGACTTCAGGACAGCTTTGGGAAATAGGGAAAGTCCAGCAGTTATACTGCAACAGAAAGGCAGATGGTAGTTTATGCTGATGAAGTCTTGCTCTGTCACCCAGGCTGGAATGCAGTGGCGTGATCTTGGCTCACTGCAACCTCTGCCTCCCAGGTTCAAGCAATTCTCCTGCCTCAGCCTCCTGAGTAGCTGGGATTACAGTTGGGTGCCACCACATCTGGCTAATTTTTGTATTTTTTTTTTTTTTAGTAGAGATGGTGTTTCACCATGTTGGTCAGGCTGGTCTTGAACTCCTGACCTTGTGATCTGCCCACCTCAGCCTCCCAAAGTGCTGGGATTACAGGCATGAGCCACCGCGCCCGGCCAGAGCTGCCTTTTTTTAAAATGAGGTGGCTATGAAGAAAGAACCCAGAGAAATTGTCTCTGGTTCTGGCATAGAGCTGCTAAAGCCCTTTTAATTCTCTGAGTGATAAGAGCATCTTTTGTTCTAATGAGGCAACTCTTGCTGGGCTCCTTTATAACTTCAGGATGGTGGTTGGTTTTCAGGAAGACCAAGTCTTGATGAGAAACTTGGAACTTTCAGTCCCATGCAATGGAGAGGAGCTAGGGCTTCAGTTACTAATCAATCATGCCTAGATGATGTAAGCTCCATAAAAACCCCTAAATGCCGAGGTTCAGAGAGCTCCCAGCTTGGTGACCACATCAACGTTCTGGGAGGGTGCCAGAGGAAACTCCATGTACTGCCCCACACCTCCCCTTATGCATCTTTTCCATTCGGCTGTTTCTGAGTTTGGCTGTTACTGAGTTTATAATAAACTGGTAATCATATGTAAAGTGTTGTCTTAAGTTCTGTAAGGTGTTCTAGCACATTATTGAACATGAGGAGGGGGTTGTGGGAACCCTTGATTCATAGCTGGTTGGTCAGAAACCCAGATCTCCTGGACTTGTGATTGGGATCTGAAGTCTGAAGTGGGGATAGTTTTGTGAAACTGAGCCCTTTCACTTGTAGGATCTGACACTAACTCTGGGTAGTTACTGAGATAATTGAATTGTACAACATCCAGCTGTTATCTGGAGAGTTGGAGAATTGGTTGGTGGGAGGAAAAAATCTCATTTGGTGTCAGATGTGCTGTGAGGAAAAAAAAACAGCCCATGAACTCCACCCTTTCTTGAACTGATTGTGTTGTTACCACTCAGTAACAGTCGAAGGTGAGGTCCTTTCTTTTGGTAGGTTTTGGGGAAAAAGGCTCAGAAACATACTTTGAAATGGGAAAGAGCAAAAGTATATGTATGTGTATGTGCAAGATATTCTGATTCCTAGGGAGGTACACAGCCATCTTTATTATTATAGATAATTTTAGAGTTGGGGTCTTGCCATATTGCCCAGGCTGGCCTCAAACTCCTGGGCTCATGCAATTCTCCCACCTTAGCCTCCTGAATAGCTACAACTACAGGCATGTACCATAGCCCTCGGCGACAACAATTTTAAGAAAAAAAATCTGGCCTGGCAAGGTGGCTCATGCCTGTAATTCCACCCCTTTGGGAGGTCGACGTCAAAGGATTCCTTAGGGCCAGGAGTTAAAGACCAGCCTGGGCAACATAGTAAGGCCCCATCTTTACAAAAAAAAAAAAAAATTAGCTGGGTGTGATGGCATGTGCTTGGGAGGCTGAGGTGGAAGGATTGCTTGAGCACAGGAGGTCAAGTCTTCAGTGAGGCATGATGGCACCACTGTACTCCAGCCTGGGTGACAGAGTGAGATACTGTCTCAAAAAGCAAACAAACAAACTATCCTGCCTGATATAGATCTAAATTTGTATTAATCATAGAATAACAACATAGCCAATTCTGCCATCTGTTGGTTGTATGAGCACTATGAATAGTCAATTCTGTGTGTGAGACACTTAACATCATTGAATGCTGGAATAAAAAATCATATAATGCATAAGCTGTCAGGGACAGGTGGAGCCAATCCTACTTTTCATGATCTTTTTGAGGTAGACAGACACTTTATAACCTTTACAGCTTGTTCAATTCAAAAACAGTCAACACACTGGAATGTCTTAGTGGCACTGAAGCTCAGTTGTGTTTTGATCCCTATTGTTGAGGTTAGCACCTAGTCAGATCCCTTTATAATGACACTAGAAATCACATCTGTGGAGATATATATACAGTTACTTCTGTCATTTTTTGTTAAAGAAGGTTAATTTCTGATTTTTAAATAATTCATTTAAAAAATATGGATGGGGGCTCTTTCCTGAAATGCAGACAGTATTCAAATCATAGCACAGTGCCTCAGGACTTCCACATCTATTGCAGACTGCTTTCTGAATAAAAGTTGAATTTCTTATGCCATTAAAAATTAATGCTTCTTAAAGAAGAAAATATCCGTCTACTCTGTGAGGAAAACATGATATATATGCTCATGGTGTATTACTTTTGACTCTTGAATACCATACATTTTTCTTTGCCATACTTCTGTTAATGTATTGCAGTATTTTGAAAACTTTTGAAAAAGCACACATTGCTCAGGCATGTTTTTCCACTTAGAAAGCCTTACTGCTTTTTCTACTGCACTTTTACTTAGTGATTAATTTCCCATCTTGTCTCAGGACCCAAGATGAATTGAACCAAACATGCAACCCCCCATCTTTACTGTTTTCAAGTTTTTGGTGGGTCATTTTATAAATTTGATTTTGAATATTAGCCTAATATTCTAAGGTGTGATAATCTTGTCCAGAATTGCCTGATCTTCCCACTCACTGCAGCCCAGGGGCTGATCATCTCCCTGCTCCTTTGACCTAGAGTGACAATTGATATTTCTGGCCACCTCGGTCTCCACCTATATTTGCTTCAAATATCCTATATGACAGAGATCATTTCCATAACTTCAGTTCTTTACTCAGGAAACAGTCAGTGAACAAATTGAAGCCCAGTTTGTTCCTTCCCAATTTCACTTCTGAGTCTGTGTCAAAACAACACATACTTGAACTTATACTTGTGTTTTTAAAAATTCTGCTTTAATGCTCATAATCCTTTTCAATCCCTTTTCCTGGTATCTGAAATATCTTAGCATAACTCTCATTTTTGCACAACCATCAGGATATAGTTTCAAATACTACAGCAGTCAAAGCATCCTACTTCATTACTTGCTGATTTTTTTCCAGGCAATCTATTTTTATTTTGTGAATAAACAATGATATAGAAGTGAATGATTTATTACTCTTCTAACTAGTTCTCAGGGAAGCTCTTCCTTCGACAAGCAAATTTCTAAGAATCTTTGACTTTTAAAGAGTTCTGTTTGCTGCTAATTGATTAAACTCAGTTATCATTTGAAAACTTCCCAAAGAAGGCAGACTACATTCTGATGAGAAAAACCACTATCATGATATACTGGCATGAACTCTGTGAACTTCACCATTAGCCAGAGATTTAAAAATGCTTTAAATTGAGGTATAATATATAAACACTAAAGTGTACAAATCCTGTATAAACTTGAATTTACGCACACACCTCCCACACCCCCACCGATCCATGTAGCCACTGCCTAGATCAAAACATAGATTATTTCCAACAGCTCAGAAGGCTTTCTTTTCTCTCTTATGTCTCTTCTCAATATCCCACTTCATGTAACCACAGACCTGACTTCTATAATCATAGATTTGTGTTGCCTGCTCTCTAACTTCATAATAAAAGGAAACAAACTGTATGTGTAGTTTTGAGTCTGGCCTCTTTCTTTATCAGTCTGTCAGTGAGATTAATCCATGTTTGTACCTAAAGTAGGGCTGCATTCTTTTTTATTGTTTTTAATTGTTCCACTGTTTCAATATTCCACTGTTTGTTTATCCTTTCTATTACTGATGAACATTTGGGTTATTTACAATTTTGGGCTATTGTAAATAAAGCTACTTAGTCTGAGATTTTCGCATATAAAAGAGCACTCCACTACACACAAATTCTGCTGTTTGGACAATTCTTTATGTGATGATAGACACAGAGTAGAAAATTAAATCAAGATGCCTAAGATGCATTTTTTGTTTTTTGAGAAAGGGTCTCACTCTGTTGCTCAGGCTGGTGTGCGGTGGTGCAGGCACAGTTCATGGCAGCCTCGGCTTCTCAGGCTCAACTGATCCTCCTGCCTCAGACTCTCATGTAGCTGGGACCACACCCAGCTAATTTTAAAATTTTTATAAAGATGGGGTCTCCCTTTGTTTCCCAGACTGCTAGAATGCTTTTTGTGAGACATTTAAACAGAATTCATGTGTCATGCAGTTTGAAATCTAATATAGGAATACAGGAAGCAAAAGTTAAATAGATAAACTGGACTTCATCAAAAGTCTTCCTGAATCAAAGGATACAATTTTTCTTGTATGTATCAAAGGATACTTTTTTTTTTTTTCTGAGGCAGAGTTTCACTCTTGTGACCCAGGCTAGAGTGCAATGGTGCAATCTCGGCTCACCACAACCTCCGCCTCCTGGGTTCAAGTAATTCTCTTGCCTCAGCCTCCTGAGTAGCTGGGATTACAGGCATGCACCACCATGCCCAGCTAATTTTTTGTATTTTTAGTAGAGACGGGGTTTCACCATGTTGACCAGATGGTCTCGATCTCTTGACCTCGTGATTCACCCGCCTCGGCCTCCCAAAGTGCTGGGATTACAGGCTTGAGCCACCGCACCTGGCCCAAAGGATACTTTAAAAGCAAAAATACAACCTACTAGGTGGGGGGAAATATTTGCAAAGCACTGATTAAGTATTAATATTTGGAATATATAATGAACACCTAAAACCCAAAAATAAAACTCAATTCAAAAATGGGCAAAAGACTTGAGTAGAAATTTCTCCAAAGAAGATATACAAATGGCCCATAAAAAGATGATTAGTATCATTAGTCATTAGGTAAACGCAAATCTAAATCACAATGAGTACCACCTCACACCTGCTAGCTACAATTAAAGACAAAACAAGATGGAGAATAACAAGTGTTGGTGAGGATGTGTAGAAATTGGAACCCTGCACATTAATGGTGAGAATGTAGAATGGTACAGACACTATGGAAAACAATTCGACAATTTCTCAAAAAGTTAAACATAAAACTACCATATAACCCAGTAATTCTACTTTAGGTATATACCCAAAAGAATCAAAAGCAGAAATCTAGCTACGGAAACCTATCTATCTATCTATATCTATCTATCTATCTATCTATCTATCTATCTATCTATCATCTATCATCTCTCTCTCTCTCTCTCTCTCTCACATCATCTATCTATCTGAAATTTCAACAGAAATTTATCTATCTATCTATATCTATCTATCTAAATTTAGAGCTTGGAGAGGTAAAGAACAGATGTTTGCCACCAAATTTTATAGCAGTGTTACTTACAAATGTCAAAAGGTATAAACAACCCAAGTGTTCATCAACAGATGAATGGATAAACAAAACATGGTTTGTACACACACACACACACACACACACACACACACACACAAATATTATTCATCCATAAAAAGGAATAAAATTTTGATATATGCTACAACATGGATGAAACGACAAAGCATGCTTGGGAAACAAGTCAGACACAGAAGGACGTATATGATATGATGTCACATATACGAAGTACCTAGAACAGAATAAAAAATAATAAAGCACAGAATATAAGTGTTAATCTTACCTTCCAATACTTGTATTTTGGATGTACAATAAGCTGCAACAGGATAATCACACTTAAGTCAAAAATTCTTTTTTTTTTTTTTTTTTTTTTTTGAGATAGAGTCTGGCTCTTGTGGCACAGGCTGGAGTACAGCAGCTGATCTTGGCTCACCACAACCTCTGCCTCCCAGGTTCAAGTATTCTTGTGCCTCAGTCTCCTTAGCAGCCGGGATTCCAGGCATGTGCCACCATGCCCAGCTAATTTTTGTAATTTTAGTAGAGATGGGTTTTCACTATGTTGACCAGGCTGGTCTTGAACTTCTGACTTCAAGTGATCCACCTACCTTGGCTTCCCAAAGTGCTGGGATTACGGGTGTGAGCTGCCGTGCTCAGCCAAAAATTCATTTTAATACTCTCCCAAACAGGGTATGTGGAGGCTGCAGGGGAGACACTAGGGAGGCATATTGTTCTAGAATAGTGCATTTCAATCCACTTCATTTGTATGAACTGCAAAGATCTCTTACAAGTGGGCTGCAGTCAGACATTTATAACTGCTGTTCCTGTCCTTCTTCTCCCAAACAAACTGCTTTGACCCCAAAGCCCCCAAACCTTCTGTCAGGGCCAGGTGCAAGAGGCGGAGACTAAAGAGTCCCTGGAGATAAATAAACTGTCATTTCACCAGGACCACTCATGAAATCCCCATAAGCTTTCCTTCCCCAGGATACAGCATTAGAGAAAGGATCTGGGCTAAAGTGATTACTGCTGGGCTGCTGCCAAGAGAGGATATCAAATTCCTGGCTTAATAATAATAATAAAAAAAAGAAAATGTAAGTTGAATCTAAATGAAATATAATTCAATTCCCTTTTTAGCCAAGTGATTTAGGTGGGCAAAGGATAGGGGCTCTGCTAAGAGCAAATTAAATGAATCCTCTGACACATCACAGTGGCTTTTAGGGCAGCACTGAGGGTGGGCTCTTGAAAGGGGAGGTAAGGACACACCCCAGCCCCTAAGGCATATATCAGAACACGCAATGAGAGAGGGAGGAGGTGAGGTAAAGCCTTACCCTACTGATATTCCTGTCTGTTGTAAGCTGTGGGGAGTCACGGAAGGTTCTTGAGAAGGGGTGCTGGCATGTCTAAAGCAGAGCTTAGGAAGCTGAACTTGTCAGATCTCAATAAATACTTGTTGGGTTAATGAATGAATGATTCAGATTAATATCAAGACAGAGACATGAATCCGGCCACTTAGGAATATGGATTCCACTAAAGCCCAATGCAAAAGGATCAGAAAATGGTATCAGAACAATACCATTATCAACATTTTATTTATAGCTTTCTAATACGTTCTTCTTAATGTAAAAAATTTGACATGTGGAATGTGGTAAAAACACAACTTGATTTTGTTCTTATTGATCCTATAAAGTTTATTTCATATGGCAATCTTTCCCTGCCTTGGAGGAATACAGTTCACCCCAAGGTAATTTACAGTCTGTCCTGTGGTCATTCTAAGTCACAAACACAGCCTAAATACACACATTAGAATACCTAGCCCTGGAAAAACCTAAAACCCTACATTTTATTTAGTGTTGAATGGTCTCCCTTTCTTGGGCAGCTCCAGTGTGAGCTGGCTACCTGCAGTGAGAGAGGAAGGCTTGTTCTTCATTTCTGTTTTCCTGCTCCTTCCTCATTAGACTTGCCTCTAGGGTTGGGACATAAAGAGAGGAACCAAAAATAGTAGAAGAGAATTTTCTTACTCAGCTCTATCTGCCATTATTTGGCTTTGTGCTGAATGTGGCTGATGTTTAAGGCTGATATTCTCTTGAGCATTCTTTTGGGGGGTACCCCCTCTGTGGGATCTCTGGAGCTGTGTTGATGCCCCTTTTTCTGCTGGCAACTCCCACTTTAGAGGATCCACCCACACACACAGTGGAGTCCCATTGCCCTTTCTACGAGGTCCTCTCTGGTAGATCCTAACACAGCCTCAGGATCGCTGGTCCTCTATCGTGTCCTACATTGAGGGAACATGCCTTGTCCTTCCACTGCAGGGGCTTGAGGTGGTGGGAATTTCCCAGACATAGCAGCTACTTGCTTTGGCTCCATCATCCTCAACACAACTGGCCAGCTTCTCTCTTACTCTGCAGATTTTCTGGGGCAGAAATCAGCTCTCGGCTCACTGTCTTTCGAACTTCAGGTAACACATATTAGGCTCTCGGAATGGCCTCAAAACTTGAGAGAGGCTCAGGTGTCCCCTCACCCCTTATTTTCTCTCGAGATACAGGACTTTCAGGCTCACAACAAAAACTTCTCCAAAAAACCCTTCTCACTAGAATCTTTCTTTTTTCTTCTTACTCTTCAAAAAAACCTTTTATATTCTTGAAGAGAGAAAGAAGTCCTTGGATAAATGGCCTTAAATGTGGAAACCAAACCCAAACATCAGGGTTCGTTTTGTTTTAGATTCCTCTTACAGTGTTCTGTCTCATGCACACATTGGTACCTGAGAGCCACATGTCAGACCCTCCGGAGAAACTGAGGTGAGAAGCGTTCTACTTTAACATTAGTTTGTGTTCACTTAACAAACTATGTAGGTATTCAGTAAAGCAGCCTCAATTCACCTTGCTTAATATTCTTGCCCTTTTAAAGCCGGATGTTGAAAGAACTTCCAAAGTAACCAGACAAATTGGTAAATATCATTTGCAGTCTTGATTGTGACTGTTGCCTGATCACCAGAGGTACTTATGCGTTGTGTAGGAGCTTACGCAATTTGGCAGAGGCTCTCTTTAAGAAAAAGAATACAATGTTAGGAATAACAAATTGGTGCATCGGAAAATAGAAAAAAAAAATTTAAAAAGAAATAAAAATTAAAACAAAAAGATTAAAAAATTGGGTATGTAAACAGCTATTTACCTGGAATGAGAAAAATTCACAAATTACTAATTTTAAAATGCTGATCCTTTTGTAGTTCATAAATGTGATGATTGGGTTCTCACATGTGTGAGACGTGCTTCCCTCAAACCCCGTGACAACATCCACACATACCCTGTCTGTCATAAAGAAAAAAATTAAAACAGAATAAAATGTTGACAAACATACCACAAACATCAAAAGTCCAGGAAAAATTATATAATGCTTTTATTAATGAATTAATTACCTTATATATACCTTTATAATTCTTTTGAAATTTAATATGATCAATAATTCTGAATAAACACACAAAGCTATCTGAAATTAAGGCATGTAGGGGAATAAGTAAAATGTAAATAATGCAAATATCATTGTATTAAGCTACTTATGATTATTCTTATACTACATACATGTACTTATTTTATAAATATGTGTGGTGCTTTTATCATTAGATTGTTTCCTTAGGTTGCTGTCCTCCATTGATGAATACTTTTTCATTCTGTTTTGTCTAAAGCTGCTGTTTGTCTTCAGCATTAGCTGAATGTGATGTGATTCGACATGCTGGGATGTGTAAAATACATGTCTAAACAGACACAGTCATTATGAACCTGGCACTGGTTTCTGTCCTACAATCATAGGATTTCAAATCTATTTTGTGTGATTTACCTCAAAAATAAAAACTACTGGGTTTATAATTGGGCTTATAATTGCATACCCTGCTTATCCTGTATATTCTTGACAGGACATAACTTCCATTTTGACTATGCGTTGCAGATAATTAAATCCTCTGCACACTGAAGATTGGCAGAATTTTCCACAGGCTGGCTTCTGGCTTCATACTTTTGATAACTTTTTCTATCTGATTATCTACAGACTTCCAATGCCAAGTGCAATAGGTTACAGTCAAATCACAATGTGACCTCTAGCACTGCACTTGTCTGTCAGATATTGGTTGAGTCAGCAAAGGAGCATTGGAAATATTGCTGGAAACCATTCCTGCACCACAATAGCTAACAATAACTTAGATATGGAAGTGAACCACATAAAAATAACCTTTTTTAACCCAAACTCTATGTCTCTTCAACTCAGCTTCCCCTTAGCTGAATCCAGTCACCCCTTGCCTCTTTAAGGCCACCCTTGGCTGAGCACAGTGGCTCATGCCTGTAATTCCAGCACTTTGGGAGGCCGAGGCAGGCAGATCACCTCAGGTCAGGAGTTCAAGAACAGCCTGGCCAATATGGGGAAACCCTGTCTCTACTAAAAATAAAAATAAAAAAAGTTTTAAAAAAAATAGCTAGGCATGGTTGTGCATGCCTGTAATCCCAGCTACTCAGGAGGCTGAGGCAGGAGAACCACTTGAACCTTGGAGGCAGAGGTTGCTGTGAGCCAAGACCATGCCACTGCACTCCAGCCTGGGTGACAGAGCAAGACTCCGTCTCCAAAACAAACAAACAAAAACACCACCCTACAGAAGAGCAAGTGTAACAGAGGGTAAGCTGGAGAGGAAAGAGACAGAGGTCTTAACCAATTGTAGTATCTCACAAGTTTTACAAAAGCATATGACTATGGGAACAGATTGCTTGGGCCCCAAGCATGAAAAGGGCTTTTGTGGCCAGGCACGGTGGCTCATGCCTGTAATCCCAGCACTTTGGGAGACGGAGGCACGTGGATCGAGAGGTCAAGAGATGGAGTCCCTCCTGGCCAATGTGGTGAAACCCCATCTCTACTAAAAGTACAAAAATTACCTGAGTGTGGTAGTGCATGCCTGCAGTCCCAGCTACTCAGGAGGCTGAGGCAGAAGAATTGCTTGAACCTGAGAGGTGGAGGTTGCAGTGAGCTGAGATCACACTACTGCACTCCAGCCTGGGTGACAAAGTGAGACTCCTTCTCAAAAAAAAAAAGGATTTATGCAAGGGAAGGAGCCTAGAACTTCATTAAACTTCATAGTAATTTGCCTTCTCAACCAGGACTGAGCCCTGCTCACCTGTTCACAGTGTATTTACATTTATAGAATTGGCACACTGGTGTGCTTGTGGGTAAATACAGGTTAAGGCATGTTACTGTCAGAGTTTAGCAGTTGGTCAACCTCCAACAGGAGACAGCAACTGTGTAGAATTTCCCTCAGTTTTAAATGTATGTCTTAGCCCTAAAGGCCTTTGGAAAGTTATTGGTCTTATTAGTGAGTTCACATACCATTGAAAGATGTTTGAATAAAAAATGACACTGTAGTAAACTTGCAAGGATGAGACTCACCAAAGGACCATGAAGACACTGGGAAAATTAAGGAGAGCACAGTAAGATGTCTTACCAGTTTATGATTCTCTTTTGCACACTAGTACTTTATAAGGGAAAAGTCACAGTTAGAAATGATTTCAGCTGCAAGTAACAAAATAATTAACTAATAGTGGCTTAAATAATAAAGATAATTAACTTAGAACAAAAAGTCTGAAGGTACTGATAATTCTGCTATTTTAGGACTCTGTGTCCTTACCTTTACGATTCTCAAGGTAGATATATGGTTGTCACAGCTCTGGGCATCATTTGCACAAAGGCAGAAAACAGGAGGCAGCTACCGAGTGTGTGTCTATCTTCTTTTCATTAAAGAGGAGAAATCTTTCCTAAGTAATTTCCTATCAGAATCGCTCTTTAAATCTCATTGGCCAAAACTGGGCACGTGGGCTCCCCTAGCTGCAGGGAGGAGTTGGGAAAGTGAGTATCTGACAAAGGGGTATGAGAGTTTCTTGATTGGCTTAGCCTAATTTCTTGATTGGCTTAGACTAGTATTTTTTGTTGGATTTGCAATTTGTTGAGTTTATATGCAAGAGTAAAACAAGGTATTTTTAGCTTTAATAGATACTTTCTAAAAGATTTCCAAAGTACTTGTACCAAATTACACTCCTATCAGCAAATTATGAGAAATTAATTTGCCAATGGTTGGCTTCATTATATGTATATGTGTATATATATATATATATATATATATATATATAATTTTATTTATTTATTTATCGGGATGGAATCTCCCTCTGTCACCAGGCTGGCTGGAGTGGAGTGGCACCATCTCAGCTCACTGCAACCTCTGCCTTCTGGGTTCAAGTGATTCTCCTGCCTCTTCCTCCCAAGTAGGGTGTGCCTGGAACTACAGGCACATGCCACCATGCCCAGCTAATTTTTGTACTTTTAGTAGAGATGGGGTTTCACCATGTCGGCCAGGATGGTCTTGATCTCTTCACCTCATGATCGGCCCACCTTGGCCTCCCAAAGTATTGGGATTACAGGCGTGAGCCACTGCTCAGCACATTATATATTATTTTAGAAGGTGGTAGGGAATGTGGTACATGCTATGGAAAAGAAGTTGGGCAAGATAAAGGGGATTGGAAGTACTGGGGGAAAATAGAGCAGTTTGAAATTTTAAATATGTGATCAGGATTGGTTTTTGTTTTTTTGAGACAGGGTCTCGCTCTGTTGCTGGAGTGCAGTGGCATGATCATGGCTCACACTGCTGCCTCAACCTCCTAGGCTCAAGTGATCCTCCTGCCTCCCAAGTAGCTGGGACTACAGGTGTGTGCCACTAGTTCTCTACAAAAAAACATATTTTGTATTATTTGTAGAGATGAGGGTTTGACGTGTTGCCCGGGCTGGTCTGGAGCTCCTGCTGCCTTCACCTCTGAAAGTGCTGAGATGACAGGTATCAGCTGCCAAGCCTGGCTGGCTATTTTTTTTGGAGGTGACAACCGGGCAAAATCATGGAAAAGTAAGGGAAAGAGCTGCGCAGGTATGTGAGGAAAAGATTCGAGGTGGACTGAAAACCAACACGAAGGCTATCAATTGCTGGTGTGTTCCAGCAAATGCAGTTGTTCACTGTGGAAGACATGGCGTGAACAAGGGAGAACGCAATGGGAAGTAATATGAGGAGAAAGAGCCAGATCACGTAGAGTCTCCAGGACATGGTAAGTGCTTTGGCTTTTCCACCGAGTGAAACGGGGGCTACAATAGGGGTTTGAGCAGATGAGTGACATAATCTGACTTAAATTTAAAAAGATCATAACTGTTGGCAGGAGCAGGAAGATAAATCAATCTATTGCAGGAGGTGACAGTGGCTTTGACCAAGGTGGTGAATAGTGGACACTCCAGGCAAACGGTGTCAAAAGCCAAGGTGCAGACATGGAAATTTCAGTGCAAGGCCGGTACCAGAGCTATGAGCAAGCCAGTTGTCTTCCTAACTGGGGAGGGAAAATGACAGCTGCCATTTATTGAAGATTCATTATGTGGCAAGCATTGTGCTAAATTTGATATTCAGGCGACCTCGTTTAGTCTCCGTAACAACCTTGTAAAGAAATTTAGAATTGAGAACCTTTCGTACAGTTACATGCCTAAAACGTAGCACACCTGGCCTTCTAACCCAGGCGGTCTGATCCCAGCCCTTCATTCCACGCCAGCACTAAGGCTAGAAGGGAAACTTGAGGCCGGGTCGTGGAGGGCCAAGAGGTTTTGCTGCTTTGAAACTTACCTTCTGTATCTTTCCCCCGCGTCCCCACATTTGAGCGACAGGACACCTCCGGAACTGCAGCTCAGCAACAGCGGTTCAGCCCGAGCGCGGGGAGGGTCGTCTTCTCCTCCGGTGGGCGTGTGGGGAGAAACGCCGCCCGCCCAGTCTCGGGTGTCTGGCGGAGCGCCTCTCCAGGAAGGGCGTGTCTCCCCGCTGAGGACCCTCCCTGTAGATAAAGAGGAGGCTCAGCAGGGCCTTAATTAGAGATCACAGAGGATCGACAACGAATGTCCTGCAGCGAGGTGCATGGATTCCACACCGAAGCTGGAGTCAGAGTCCAGCTAACAGACCACTGCAGCTCGGCGGAGCCGGAGTGGGGCAACGAGGAGAGATGTCGGGGAGGGAAAGGGGATGGGACTTGGGGACTGAACGACTCTCTTCCTGTGTCTCCTCCCCGCGTCCTCGGGAGGAGCTGACAGGCGGCTGCACAGCCCGCGAGCCCTCAGAGCTGCCGTGCAGCACCGTGGTCGCTAGGGGGCAGGCCCGCCTCATCCGGAGCCCCGGCCGCCGCTCACTCCATGGAGGGCGGAGCTGCTGCTTAAATTCCAAGTCAGGCCGGCCCCTGGAACGCTTCATGGGAGCTTGGATTTAGAACAGTTGATCTCCATTGAGACGGAAATTTGGACGGTCTCCCACTTGATTGTAAACGGCTAGAAACAGGGTTTGCGGTATTGCAATGAATGCAGAGTGCAGGCGCCGGTGCCCAGGCGGCCCGGGGAACAGGAGGGCGGGAGGAGGAAACGGCTGCGTGCAGGACACCAGCAGCAGCGGCCCTTAACGGGTGCTGGGCGGGGGGACTGTGCTTTCCGAAATTCCCAGCGTCCTTTCCCTGCTTGCCCAGGGCCATTCCATTACACCGTTTGTTACGTTTTTCCGAGTCCCAGGTCTGAAATGGAAAGCGGTGTTACCCTAGATGCCCTGAGAGAGCGGGGCCGCAGAGACCTCGCACAGCAGGATAGCAGCGGAGCAGGTGTGTGTGCGTGTGCACGTGTGCATGCTGTGAGAGTGTGCTGTGCGTAACACGCTCCCGTGTGTCTGTATGCCTGCTCTGCAGGGGGAATGTTAATGTTTGTTTGTTGCTGGGCTTCAGCCCAAAAGAGAAATAAATAATGAGGTGAACAGAAATGAACTGGAGTCTGCCTTAACAGCTAATTAGCCCCCCTCGAATGGACGAAAAGGACATACAGTAGACTCAAGTGAACAACGGACGAGAAACTCAGGGACTTAGGCTAGGGAAAGGGCGTCGGGCGGGGAGTGTGTGTGGGCAGGGCTAGGAAGGCAATCTCAGAAGCCCGGGTGCCTGATCAGGCCAGCAGGTCATTCCCACCCTTCGATTAAAATCTACTTGGCTGGCATGTTTTACAGGCCGGCCTTCACCTTACTAAAAGCCATGTCACTTTCTGAAGGGTTAACAGTTCCCTTCTTCACCTTCCCCGGGCAGGTCTTTGTTCTTTTTGTCAGGCTGGCCCCTGTCCCTGTTTCTCAGAGCCCTGGTCACAGCCCTCTTCCTGGCTGCTCAGACAAACCCAGTCTTGACCTGACTCTGCACAGCACGTTGCCTGCTGCTCCTTAGGCTCTTCTCTTGGTCCCTGTGAAAGGTCGGACGCAGAAAGGCGAAGGCGGAAACAGACTGTTTGATGGCAGGATGAGGAAGAGCTGCTGCTTCATATCCTGTGTGTCTACTGCTGTGCGAGCGAGCGGGAAAGGTGGTGTGAGAAAGTAATGTCAGAGACTGCTGTGGCAGGCCCTTCACCCGTCAGCAATGCCAGGGGTCCCTGTCTGTGGGACCCCCACAGGCCCAACTCACATGGACTCCAGAGACACCAGCTCCAGAATGTGTCCCCCAAGCTGCCAAAGTATGTGTCCTACCCTCAGAGAACCTACTCTCCCCAGGGCTCTCATAGCCTTTGTGAACACAAGGCCCGGAGTGCATGCTCCTCGAGCATGAATATGAGAATTCTTCACACAGAGCAAGTTCTCCTGAGACTTGTATTCTTGAGTGTGTGTATGTGAGAGGGAACTTCATTTCTTTAACACCCTAATAAACTTAGAGAATGGCTGCTTCTTAAAAATTGTTATCCACAACACTTCTGGATTGTTGCTAGTCTTTCTTCTTCTTTTTTTTTCGTTTGCCCCTTTAGGGCACAACCGTCCCAGTCCAGGTTTTCTTTCTAATGCTGCTTTTCCTTTTTTGTTTGTTTGTTTGAGATGGACTCTCACTCTGTTGCCCAGGCTTGAGTGCTATGGTATGATCTCAGCTCACTGCAATGTCTACCTCCTGGGTTCAAGTGATTCTCCTGCCTCAGCCTCCTGAGTAGCTGGGATTACAGGTGCGCATCACCACACCTAGCTAATTTTCATATTTTTAGTAGAGACGGGGTTTCCTCATATTGGCCAGGCTGGTCTCAAACTCCTGACCTCAAGTGATCTATCCACCACAGCCTCCTAAAGTGCTGGGATTACAGGCATGAGCCACTGCACTCAGCATGCTCTTCCATTGTAATTTGGTACATTGGGCCATGGGAATTCTCAAACCTTAATAATAATTTTTTAAAAATCTCCCAAGAAGCTTGTTTTAAATGCAGATTCCTCAGGTCCTGCCCAAATCTATTGAATCAGAATTTCTGGAGTGGTATATGGGAATTGGCATTTTACCAATCCCACTGCTCCCTCCTCCTCCCCAAAGATCCGAAGTCAGATGGTTCACAGAACATATACCATAAAACATGGTGCTGAAGGAGGCCTTGGGCCCTTGTCTTGGTTGCTCAGGCTGCTATAACGAAATACTGTAAACTGGGTGGCTTATACACAACAGCAATTTAATTCTCACAGTTCTGGAGGCTGGAAGTGCAAGATCAGATCTGGTGTCTGGTGAGTGCTCACTTTCTGTTTCCTAGAACAGTCCCTTCCCACTGTGTCCTCACACAGTGAAAGGGGAGATAAGCTCCCCTGGGCTGTATTATAAGGGCACTGACCTCACTCATGAGCCCTCCTCCTCATGACCTCATCACCTCCCAAAGGCCCCATCTCTTAATACCATCACCCTGGGGTTTAGATTTCAACACATGAGTTTTGGAGAGGCACAAACATTTAGATGATGGCAGTCCTTTTTTTTTTTAATGTTGAGTTTTAATGTTGAGAGTTCTTTATGTATTTTAGACTCAAGACCTTTCTTAGATACGTGATTTCTAAATGTTTTCTTCCTATCTGTAATGTGTCGTTTGATCCTTTTTCCAAGTTCTTTCACAGAACAAAAGTTTTTCATTTTGATGAGATGCAATTTATAAACTTTTCTTCTTCTGGTTCATGCTTTTGGTTTCAAGTCTAAGAACTCTGCTTAGTCCTACACCACAATGCTTTTTCTCTTATATAGTTGTATGTTTACATTTGACTCCATGATCCATTTTGAGTTAATTTTGGTATTGGTTTAGGTCAAATTGCTCCGGTGCCAGGAATACAACTAACAAAGAATGTAAAGGACCTCTTCAAGGAGAAATATAAACCACTGCTCAACGAAATAAGAGAGGACACAAACAGATGGAGAAACATTCCATGCCCATGGTTGGGAAGAATCAATATCATGAAAATGGCCATACTGCCCAAAGTAATTTATAGATTCAATGCTATCCCCATCAAGCTACTAATGACCTTCTTCACAGAACTGGAAAAAACCACCTTAAACTTCATATGGAACCAAAAGAGAGCCCACATAGCCAAGTGAATTCCAAGCAAAAAGAACAAAGCTGGAGGCATCACACTACCTGACTTCAAACTATACTACAAGGCTACATTAATCAAAACAGCACAGTACTGGTACCAAAGCAGAGATATAGACCAATGGAACAGAATAGAGGCCTCGGAGGCAACACCACACATTTACAACAATCTGATCTTTAACAAACCTGAACAAAACAAGCGATGGGGAAAGGATTCCCTGTTTAATAAATGATGTTGGGAAAACTGGCTAGCCATGTGCAGAAAGCAGAAACTGGATCCATTCCTGACACCTTACACTAAAATTAACTCCAGATGGATTAAAGATTTAAACATGAGACCTAACACCATAAAAACCCTAGAAGAAAACCTAGGCAAAACCATTCAGGACATAGGAGTAGGCAAGGACTTCATGACTAAAACACCAAAAGTGTCGGCAACAAACGCCAAAATAGACAAATGGGATCTAATTAAACTCCACAGCTTCTGCACAGTAAAAGAAACAGTCATATGCACTCCAGCCTGGGTAACAAGAGCAAAACTCTGTCTCAAAAAAAAAAAAAATTAATTAATTAAAAAAAAAAAAGAAACTGTCATTAGAGTGAACCAGCAACCAACAGAATGGGAAAAAAATTTTCAATCTACCCATCTGACAAAGGGCTAATATACAGAATCTACAAATAACTAAAACAGATTTGCAAGAAAAAAACAAACCCATTCAAAAGTGGGCAAAGGATATGAACAGACACTTTACAAAAGAAGACATACATGAGGCCAATAAACATATGAAAATATGCTCATCATCACTAGTCATTAGAGAAATGCAAATCAAAACTACATTGAGATACCATCTCACGCCAGTTAGAATGGAGATCACTAAAAAATCTGGAGACAACAGATGCTGGAGAGGATGTGGAGAAATAGGAACACTTTTACACTGTTGGTGGGAGTGTAAATTAGTTCAACCATTGTGGAAGACAGTGTGGCAATTCCTCAAGGACCTAGAAATAGAAATTCCATTTGACCCAGCAATCACATTACTGGGTATATATCCAAAGGATTACAAATCGTTCTATTATAAGGACACATGCACATGTATGTTCATTGCAGCACTATTTACAATAGCAAAGACTTGGAACCAACCAAAATGCCCATCAATGACAGACTGAACAGGGAAAATGTGGCACTTATACACCATGGAATACTATGCAGCCATAAACAATGATGAGTTCATGTCCTTTGTAGGGACATGGATGAACCTGAAAACCATCATTCTCAGTAAACTGACACAAGAACAAAAAATCAAACACTGCATGTTCTCACTCATAGGTGGGTATTGAACAATGAGAACACATGGACACAGGGAGGGGAGCATCACACACTGGGGTCTGTAGTGGGGAACTAGGGGAGGGACAGCGTGGGGTGGGGAGTTGGGGAGGGATAACATGGGGAGAAATGCTAGATATAGGTGATGGGGAGGAAGGCAGCAAACCACATTGCCATGTATGTACCTATGCAACAATCTTGCATGTTTTTCACATGTACCCCAAACCTAAAACGCAATAAAATATATATTAAAAAGAAAAAGAAAAGGCTGTTCTCCTCTATTCCATTGCTTTTATGTCATCTAAAATTAGTGGGAATTTTGAGAGGATCTATATCTGGGTTCTCTGTTCTGTTCCACTGATTGCTTTGCCTGCTCCCTCTACCAGTGCCATACTGTCGGGGTTCTGCAGTTATATTTTGGGCCTTAACATTGGGAAGAGTAATTCTTCCCACTTTATTTTCATTTTTAAAGTTGTTTTTAAAGCTTGTTTACGTCAAAAAAAAAACCTACTTAAATTTTGATAGTAATTGCATTAACATGATCTAGTTACAGAGAATAAACCATGTGGAAAAGTTGGGCAGCCGTAGTTGCTCTACGATTTGTTAATAAACTTTGTTCCTTCTAGAATCCTAGAACCAGAGAGGACTCAACACTCTTACTGTCCCAGGGAACACTGTAGGTTCTTGGGGGTTCATACGCTGTCTTTAGGAAAACGGAGCTGTCTTAAGAGAAGGAAGTTGTACTTACCTTTGTGAGAACCAAACGTTTACTCAAGTAACATTGATCCTCACCTCTACTTTAGCAGGGAAGGAAGTGCTGAAGGACCCAGGGGATGACTGAGCATAAGGCTGTGACCAGCTTGATCAGGAATTGTCCTGAGGGCAGCAGGAGGAGTGGCAATGCTACCGGAGAAGGTGGCTTTGTTGAAAGCCTTTAAATTCACCCTCATTATTCGCCAGTCTCTTTTCTTGTGTTCTCTTGGTATTTTTGTTTTTGTTTTTGTTTTTGTTTGAGACGGAGCTCTTGTTACCCAGGCTGGAGTGCAATGGCACAATCTCGGCTCACCGCAACCTCCACCTCCTGGGATCAGGCAATTCTCCTGCCTCAGCCTCCTGAGTAGCTGGGATTACGGGCATGTGCCACCATGCCCAGCTAATTTTTTGTATTTTTAGTAGAGACAGGGTTTCACCATGTTGACCAGGATGGTCTCGATCTTGACCTCGTGATCCACCCTCCTCGGCCTCCCAAAGTGCTGGGATTACAGGCTTGAGCCACCGCGCCCCGCCTCTCCTCGTATTTCTTATCCATTAGGCAGCCAGCTCTTAACATGAGATCTTCCTGTTTTTGCATTCTTTTTTGCAGTGCTTTTCTAGTCACACCCTTTGGTGCTCTAATCTGTGGTCTTAGTTTTAGTCAGTGATGAAGTTAATATTTGACACATTAACCCTTATTTCAGTTAACACCAGATGAAGTGAATTCAATTCCTCTTCTGTTCTCACCCAAAAGTTGGCCCCAAACTAGTTCAAAAATATCTTTGAATTATTTCTTGGCTAATGTCTTATTTGTGCCCCTTTCCTGATCTGATGAATACTGGCTTTTGTGATGGGTGTCTCATCCAGATAGCTGCAAGCCTTGTTAAAGAGACATTTGATAAGAGGGACTACTTACCTGGAGTTCACCCTCAGACCACTGAAATCTTAATTACCGATGACAGTTTTATGTATCCTTTAAGGAGTTCTTTAACTCTGAATTCTACAAGAAAAAAAAAAAGATTTGTTGAAAATGACTGACCCCATGTGGGTTGAGAACTATATCACTTAACTAAACTGTAAGCAGCTAACTGTATCCCGTTAACAAATATGGTACCTACAAAATAAGTTTCAATTAGCACTATGTGTTGTAACTTCTTGGTGCCTCTAAGTTAGAGAATGAAACCCTTAGTCAGATCTGGCTAAGGAAATGACTTTATCCTAGCTCAAAAAAGACCTTTTTCTTACCCTTTCCTCCATCATTTTTATTCTATATTGCTTATTCATCATCTCATATGTCCTCTGTCATGTCACATTAGAATCATTTCTTCTCGATGCAGACTGCAGCTGATGTGGTCATTGGGTGTACTGCAGCTTCCACCAAGTGTTCCCTTCTGGTGAGAAGAGTGTTAGCACTGAAACCCAAAGATGACAAGGGTGGAGCATTGCTGAGTTAACCTCGCAGCTGGAGGGTCTGCGCTGCATAGTCTCCCCTTGGGCCATGAGAGCACATTCTTGAGAATTACACAAGTCTGTAGTAGGGCAAGGCTCAGGGCTATGGAATTCATAACAGCAGTGGGACTAAGGCATCCACTGCCTGTTCTTTGTCATGTTCATGCCCGTCACCCAAGTAAAAATCACCGTCATCCTCCTCTCCCTCATTTCTGTCCCAGCCAATCACTTCTTTCTGGGCTGGCCAAGCTATCTCCTCCAACTTGCCAGAG